TCAAAGGCACGCCTGAAGCGTGGAAGACTAACCAGTTCCAAAGATAAAAATCCTCGAAAACGAAAGGGAGCAAATATAATTGATGGTCCAAAAGAGAAAACAGAATCTTTTGAAAAGATTAATGAAGCTCCAGAAGAGCCCAATGACATAACAAAAGAAAATAAGGTACCTGAAAAAATGAAAATGATGAGATCCCAATAAATAATGTCATGACAGGAATAAGATGTAACCGAAATAAGATAGATGTCGACGATAATTTTTCATATCATGTTCCGCGCGCGATTATAAAGAAAATGAGGATCTTGAACCTAAATCTATTGAGTAATGTATGAATAGAAAATATTGGCCAAAATGGAAAGATGAAATAAATAAAGAGCTTAATTCTATTACTCAACGAAAAGTTTTTTGACATGTAGTCCGTACACCAAACAGAGTAAGAACAATGGGACATGAATGAGTATTTGTGCGCAAAAGAAACGAGAAAAATGAAGTTGTGAGATATAAAGCAATATTCATTGCACAAAGGTTTTACCCAAAAGCCCAAAATTGATTATGAAGAAACATATTCTCCGGTAATTGATGCAATTACATTCAATTATTTTATAAGTTTAACAACATATGCAAAACTGGAGATATGTGTAATGGATGTATTTACCGCTTATTTATATGGTTCACTTGAAAATGATATTTATATGAAAATCCCAGAAGGGTTTAAGGTTCCAGAAGCACAAACTTCTAATTTTCGTGAAGTATATTTGGTAAAATTAAATAAATCTTTGTATAGATTGAAACAATATGTGTTTCAATTTTTTTTAATACATTTTTGTTGAAAGAGTGCTATAAAAATGATCCATTAAGTCCATGTGTATTCATAAAAAGATTTGGATCAGAATTTGTGATAATTGTTGTTTACGTAGATGATTTGAACATAATTGGAATTCCTGGAGAATTGGAAAATGTCACTTCTTGTTTGAAAGAAAATTTTGAAATGAAAGATCTTGGTAAAACAAAATTTTGTTTGGGTCTTCAAATTGAGCACACCAAAAATGGAGTTTTTATACATCAATCTAGATATCTAAAAAAGGTGCTCAAAAGGTTTTATATGAATAAATCACATCCATGAGTAACCCAAAGGCGGTAAGTCACTTAGATGCCAAAAAGGACCAATTTCAACATCATAAAAAGCAAGAAAATCTTCTTGTTCCCAAAGAACTATATCTTAGTGCTATTGGTGCACTAATACATCTTACTATTAATACAAGACCTGATAAATGTTTTGTCGTAAACTTATTAGAAAGATATAGTTCTTGTCCAACAAGAAGATACTAGAATATAGTTAAACACATTCTTTGATATCTTCGAGGTACGTTGGATATGAATTTATACTAATCAAATTCATAAAATGCGAAGTTAATTAGTTATGCAGATGATGGATATTTATCTGATCCACACAAAGCTTGATCCCAAACATGTTATTTATTCACTTGTGGAGGTAACGTAAATTCTTGTCATTTTGTTAAACAAACTTTAGTTGTTGCTTATTCTAACCATGCAGAGATTATAGCAATTTATAAGGAAAGTCATGAATGTATTTGGTTAAGAATTTTAACTCAACATATTTGCAAGAATTGTGGTCTAACTTCTAACAGGGATGTTCCAACCATACTATATGAAGATAACACAACTTGTATAACTCCATTCAAGGAAGGATTTATCAAAGGAGACAGAACCAAGGATATATCACCAAAGTTTATTTCACTCATGATCTTCAAAAAGAGTGTGACATCAACATCTAGAAAATTCAATCCAGTATCAACTTTCCTAATTGGTTTACTAAAGCACTTCCTACATCGAAATTTGAAAAGATGGTACGAAACATTGTTATGCGGTGCTTCAAGAAAATCAAGTGATGTGCTAATCAGGGGGAGTTGGAAACATATTGTACTCTTTTCCTTAGTTATGTTTTTCCCACTGGGTTTTCTTAACAAGGTTTTTAACGAGGCAATTGTTTCCAATATCTATTATTAATCATGTACTCTTTTTCCTTAATAAAGGGTTTTTCCCATGAGGTTTACCGATTAAGGTTTTAACGAGGCATGATACAATCGTCATTCAAGGGGAAGTGTTATGAATTATTATTTAGTGAATGACTATTGGATTCTCCATATTCCCCCATTACTCTCCATAATTAGTGAACATTATAGCAAACATTATTATGAGTTTTATGAGTGTAGTTATGCACCACTATAATGAGCATTCATATCATACATCACCTTTCATCTTCTTTGTCTAGTATAAATAGTGAATATTATGTATTGTAAAGTTTGATGATTTCATCACAAGTATTGAAATAAAAGTTCTCTCTACTCTTGTCTTTCTTTACTATATAATTTATATTGTTATTTGATCATATTTCATAATATATATATATATATATATATATATATATATATATATATATATATATATATATATATATAAAAGTAATAATTAAAGCGTGTAAGAATATAAACACCATATATTAAATATTTTAATGTATGTTCGTATCACTAAAAACATAATTAAAAAGAATAACTTGATCATTGAAAACAATAAATTCATGATATAATCATTATTATAGAAATAGAACTATTTCAAATCGATAACAAGTTATATATATATATATATATATATATATATATATATATATATATATATATATATATATATATATATATATATATATATATATATATATACCTTTTAGATGTATATCTTCATCGGAAAAATGATGAAAAAAGAATCAATTGGTAATTGAAAAACAATTATATACCATAATTTATATATATATATATATATATATATATATATATATATATATATATATATATATATATATATATATATATATATATATATAGGTTAGGTTCATTTGAGACCACCTATATTTTGTAAGACCGTGAGACACATTTTTTTATTTTTTTTTTTATTTATTTTTTATTTTTTTATTTCTTTTAGTTAATTCATGTTTCGAAAATAATATTTAAAAAAAGAATTTTTTGATTTTTCCATTTATTTTGCATTTTAAAATTATTTTTAGAATATGTATAGTCTAATATTCTATTTAGAATATTTTACGTATTTTTCAAAAAAAATAGAACTTTTATTTTTATTTTTTTTAGTTAATTCAAGTTCCGAAAATAATATTAAAATTTTTTTTTTTAGATTTTTCCATTTATTTTGCATTTTAAAATTATTTTTTAGAATATGTCAGTGTAATATTGTATTTAGAATATTTCACGTATTTTTCAAAAAAAAAAACGGAATTTTTTTTTTTTTAATTTTTTTTTATATTTTTTTTAGTTAATTCAAGTTCCGAAAATAATATTTAAAAGAGTAAACTGCACAAATGGTCCCTGTGGTTTACACAAAATTGCCACTTTGGTCCAAAAACGTTTTGGCTAGCACCACAAGTCCAAAGTTTCCATTTTCTTGCATATTTGGTCCAATGGGTTAACTTCTGTTTGTTTCCCTCTGTTAAGTTATGTTTGACTAGTCAAATCAGGGGTATTTTGGTCATTCCCTATTTATGCCCTTTATTTTATATTAATAAAGGAGAGTAATAAGAACGAATCCCAATCCATCTTCTTTGTCGTCGTTCTCATTTTGATCTTCTGCAACTCTCCGACCGATTTCTTCAAGAAATCAAAATCAAAAATGGTGCTTTGTTTTTGTGGTAAAATGGCCATAGTTCGCACAGCATGGACTGATAAAAATCCAGGTAGACGCTTCTGGGGATGCCCTACTGAGGTACGCATTTTTTTTTTTTTTGGATTTCAGTATAAATCTCCCATTAGATGTTGCGATCTTCTTTTGATTCTTAAATTTTGAAGGGATCCAAATGTCGATTTATTGGGTGGTTTGATGGTCCAATTTGTGAACGTTCAAAAGCTATTATACCTGGGCTGCTGAGGTCAATCAACAAAGTGAAGTCACAAAACACAAGACTCAAGTGTTACCTGTTATGCAGTTGGGTGTTGTTCGTGTTTGTTCTGGTTTATAAGAAGTAGATTGAAGTGTAATGGTTTGGGTGGTTTGTAAGTGTAATGGTTTGGCTGGTTTCTAAGCAGTATATTGAAATGTAATGGTTTGGGTAGTGTTTTAAGGTTTTTGGTAGTATCTTGTTTAAGCAATGTAATCTTTTGGGCAATACTTTGTGGTAGTCTTTTTTGGTTATAATGTAAGCAATGTAAGACATGTTTTGCAGCAATTTGTCAATGGTGATTATATTTGGTATGTACATTTTGACCAATTTATTTTGTTTGTGGTGTTGTTTAAAAGGGCATTAGTCAATTTATATTGGGCAATTTTGTGTAAACCACAGGACCATGTGTGCAGTTTTGTCTTGTGGTTTTGTTTAAAAGGGTATATTGGTCTATTTATTTTGTATATGGTTTACACATTATCAATAACAAATGTATGTTTTGATTAAAAGGGCATATTGGTCTATTTATTTTGTATGTGGTTTACACATTATCAATGAAAATTGTATGTTTTGTTTAAAAGGGCATATTGGTCAATTTATATTGGGCAAATTTGTGTAAACCACAGGACCATGTGTGCAGTTTTGTCTTGTGGTTTTTTTAAAAGGGCATATTGGTCTATTTATTTTGTATATGACAAATGTATGTTTTGATTAAAAGGGCATATTGGTCAATTTATTTTGTATGTAGTTTACATACATTATCAATGACAAATGTATGTTTTGTTAAAAGGGTATACTGGTCAACTTCTACAACAAAAAATTATACATTACAATAACATCAAGACATCATTACATTAAATCCAGTGTAAATTGTTCCCATACATCACAGGGGTACACTATCAAGTACCAAAAGTAACATCCAAAATGGTTAAACCCCAAAACACAGAAAGTACTAAACATACAATACACATAAACATAACATTATCCCAAAAAGACACTTATACCCCTACAAACATCAAAATCCCTTGAAATCCAATCACTTACCCCCTTGGCCTTTGCAAGTTCTAGCATTGTGCCCTTTAATTTTACACTTGCTGCAGGTTACTTGGATAAACTTTCTTGTAAGCTTTCCACTCCTACTAGCAATATTGCTTTGACTCCCACTACCACTAGCAACATTGTCTCCCTTCTTCTGGCTTTTCTCCTCAGCAGAGTGCCTCCTCTTTTTCTTTGGCCTTCCAGGCTGATTTTTGTGTATAGGAGGGGTGATTTTAATTGGGCATTCACTTATAGGCCACATTGCTCGACCTTTAATAGGCTCTACTTTGTACACATAAGCTGCTTTCCATGTTTCTAGCCAGTGCACCCTGTGGGCATAAGTGTGCAGTTCTCCAACTTCCTCACCATTATCTGCTTTGTCATTTAGGACTGCAATGACATGCTTACAAGGGAGTCCTGTTAATTCCCACTTCCTACAACTGCATACTCTTTCAACCATATCAACAACATGTTGATCCTGCCATGGCCCTTGCACTTGGTATTTATCTGACCCATTCCACCTAACTGTGTACTGAGATGCCCAATTCACATTCTTCTCCATGATCTTTGTTGCAGATGGGTTAGTGGACCAACACACTTCTTTTGAACCTTTATGACATTGCATATTCTTTTCATCATATACTCCCTAATGTACTCCAAGCAGGATATCAGTGGCTTGTCCCTTCCCTCAATCAATTTGCTATTAAAAACTTCACAAAGATTATTTAGAAGCATATCTGAAACTGCTCTGCCTGAAAACACCACAATATTGTCAGGATCAAACATATACTAATACAAAAGGATCAAACATATACCAACACAAAAGGGTAAATTTGGAAGTTGAAGTATATACCTGTGAAGTGGCTTCTTGCCCAATGTTGTGGGGGAATCTGCTTCAACCAATTATAAGCTTCTACATCATATGAGCTGAATTGATGCATCCTATGATTAAACTCTGGTACTGTTGTTGCTGTAGCACAATTCCACAAGTGTTCTTTGTACTCATTAGTTCTCCATGTTTTTCTCATATTGTCATGTATATGCCTAAGGCAAAACCTGTGCTCAGCACATGGGAACAACTGAGAAATGGCAGTCTGCAATCCCTGTAAAGGAATTAAAACATAGTTAATATAGCACATCCAAATATGTCAAATATAAACAACAAATTACAAACCTTTTGTCTGTCACTTATAAATGTGAAGTTTGAGTTTGCATGTAGGTCCAGATCATCTGCAATACACTCTAGAAACCACTTCCAACTGTCAGTGTTCTCAGTCTCAACAATGGCATAAGCTAGGGGGTATATTCCATTGTTGGAGTCTACCCCAACTGCAGTTAAAATTTGTCCTGGGAAAGGGCCCTTCATAAATGCCCCATCAAAACCTAGAAAATCCCTCAGGCAAGCTCTAAAGCCCTTTTTCATTCCACCCAAACACACGTACATCCTTTTAAACCTTCTTGAGGTAGCACTTAGGTTGGGTTCTGAATCAAACTCTAACTTCACAGTGGTTTCTGGATTAGTAGACTGCAACTCCAGGATGTAATCTCTAAGAACATCATATTGCTTTTTGTAATCACCCTGGACAAGTTTTTTTGCAGTTGATTTGGCCCTGAATACCTTGTGAATAGAGAATCCAACTTGATAATCCTTTTGAAGTTGTTCTTGAAGAGCTCTGACTGGGATTGTTGGGTTGGATTCAATCTGGTCCATTATCTGCTTAGAGATAAACTTTGCTGTTGCAGATCTAACTTTTCTTGTCTGGAGGCATTTATGTTCGTGGTTGTAAGTTTTTATGAACCAATTACTATTTACATCTGACCTAGAACCTTGTATCACCCAAGGACAAGGGGTAGGTTCACTGACATGACCATCATTAAAGGCCACAGTTCCTTTACAGATTGCCCTTAACCTCATTTTGTCGTTTTTCACAAAGAATATATTCCTTCTTGTTTCCAGTGCATGCAATTGTATCTTTTCCTTTAACTCCTTCTTATTTTTATATTTTTGTCCTATCCTAAAAGTTACCTTGTGTATCTCACCTTGAGAGCACCTAGTCTCCTTCCCCAATTCCTTTATTACAGCTCTTCTTTTCCTATCTATATCAGAACCCTCATCCAATGAATCCCATTGATCATTATCTATAACACCCAACTCTTCATTGACCTCATCACTGTCATTCTCTCTATGCTTTGGTAATCTTTTTTCAAGAAATTCTGCTTCAAGATCTATATTCATGTAAAAATCCCTCATGTCTACTTCTACATCAGGGATGATGTTGTCTTCATCCACCCAGAAATCACTATCATCACTGTCCTCACTCTCATCACTTCTTTCAGTATTGTCTTCATCAATCTCTATGTTATCTTCACTTCCATCATCAACTGCAAAATCTCTCATCTCTACATTCTCATCATTCATTTCATTTCTGTCATGATTCTCTTCTTCAGTGACTTCCTTATTAACTGTATTTTCCTCACCTTCATGAACCTCATCATCTACATTCTGTTCATTAGACTGTAAAATCTGTTGGTACAATCCAATATCAAAGTCATTAGCTGCCTCATCAAATTCATTAAATCCCTGGTTAATATCATTACATGCCTCATGAAATTCATTAAAATCCCGGTTAATATCATTACATTCCTCATCAAATTCATTAAATCCGTGGTCAATTTCATTATCTGCATCATCCTTATTCCCACCAATCCTATCAACACTAACATCATCCATCACCAATTTCTTAATACATGATGATAATGGTTTGTCCTTGATAAATTCCCTTTTTTTATTATATTCAGGGGATATTGACAAGGCTAAAGCAGCTTCATTTGCTATCACAGGTGGTATGCATGTTTGTGGCATGCCACTGGGTTGGTTATTAGTTGGTGGGGTTTGATGTTCATCGATCTCCTCTAATTGCTCAATAATAACTTTTCTTACAGGTTTAGGAGCCATAAAGTAAGTAAGCAAGTTAGTAATACCATGCTCGGTGTAAACCCTTATCAGTTTATGCTCCTTCACATACTGGGAAAGATTGAGGACATCATCATCATTTCCCAGGGCCCGTAGCCCAAAATGCATGTCTCCCTTTGGCACTCGAAAATGATAGTAGATAACCGGAGGAACTGAGTATCCTAACCCTTTCATAATCGCATCCATCTCGTGAATAGAAAACTCTTCTATATCCACCATATCTACATACGTCACAGTACCCTCAATGTAGTTGACATTTGGAAACTTTGTGAACTCACCTCCATGATGTAGCTTGATGGTAAACAATGTAGGGTGTCCATCTTCAACACAAGAGCAAAAAAAAAAGTTCAGAAGGTATGATTTCTTGTAAGAAAATCAACAAAATGATCAAAAACAAAATTACGTACCATAAACCACCCTTGGGTCGAATGACGTGCTTGACAACCTTAAGTGCCACATTGGTATATGCATTCACTACGAAACTCGCCTGATTGAAGCTATCAACCTTGTTAATCAGTTTAGGGTTCTTGATCCTCAGTCAATGAGGAGGGAAATTGTATCGACTCACGGTTTTTAAGGACTATAAATGTGAATTAGGCTCGATATTATCCGTATGGCAATGCATACATACGAACTCTCCTTTATTAATATAAAATAAAGGGCATAAATAGGGAATGACCAAAATACCCCTGATTTGACTAGTCAAACATAACTTAACAGAGAGAAACAAACGGAAGTTAACCCATTGGACCAAATATGCAAGAAAATGGAAACTTTGGACTTGTGGTGCTAGCCAAAACGTTTTTGGACCAAAGTGGCAATTTTGTGTAAACCACAGGGACCATTTGTGCAGTTTACTCTATTTAAAAAAAGAATTTTTGGATTTTTCCTTTTATTTTGCATTTTAAAATTATTTTTAGATTTGGTCTCACGGTCTCACAAAATTAGAATGGTCTCAAATGAACCTGAACCTATATATATATATATATATATATATATATATATATATATATATATATATATATATATATATATATACCTTCTAAATGTATATCTTCATCGGAAACATGATGAAAAAGAATCAATTGGTAATTGAAAACAATTATATACCATAATATATATATATATATATATATATATATATATATATATATATATATATATATATATATCATTATATACTTGTAAAAAAAACATTTTTTCTTTCATCACATTCATTTGAAACTCCCATGCATTTTCCCTTTCACCACATTGATTTGAAACTCGCATGACATTTCAATTTCTTTATAATAATAATTATAAGTTGGTTAAAATAATATATTTATTTTTACTTATAAATTTATGTCTTTAACTTTCAACATATTATACATAATTTATTTGTTTTAAGATGTTTTTATATGTAAACAATTATTATTTTAAAGCTAGAACTTTTGTTTCTTTTGGATAGATACTTAAATTGTTAATTTAAATAGGGTCAACTTAAATATAAATTTTAATTTGACTTAAACAACCTAAATTATAGTTTGTAAATAGTCAAAAGTGATAAATTATAGTATCTTTCTAATAATGATTATAAGTTGGTTAATAATGTTAAATAAATATCTGTGACAACCCGGAATTTCCATTATGTACAAACAATATCACTTCAATAGAAGTTATATCAGTCACAGTAAACTTTCAAACTTTTCCGTATAAGTTTGAGTAATTTAGGGTTTACACTTCAGGAAATATCAGGAGAGTGGATGCACTAGGGTTTTGTGCAACACTGTTATTCCAACACTCTATTATATTAGCGATCATTTCGGGAATAAAATATATCCTGCCAAAAATCTCAGGACTATAAATAGAATTCTGAACCAAATTCATTAATTATTCGCATTTCCAACTAGAGAAAAGCCATTTTCTCTCTCACGGATCTTCGGGTTTTTATCCCAAAACGTGAGTAACTATTTCTAGTAGTGTTAGAAAGCTTATTATGTGTTTATAACATGATTTAGATAGCTAAATAACTAGATTTAGGAGTTTACTCCCCAAGGTGTTCTTGGGCGGTAAACTCCCGAAACAAAGCCTAGCCTTTCCCCCATGATATGCTACTACCTTGGACTCGTATATGGGTGTATTTGGGACATGAAAACATCAAAGAAACACAAATGTTTGGGTGTTCACGGCCCAAGAATGTAACAGCCCGAAATTTTCAGGTATTTATTTTGGATTTATTTATGGAATTGTGAGTGGACTCGGCGAGTTGGAGCCCAGACTCGCCGAGTAGGATCGCAGATTTGGGCACGGGTTCGCATCCGGACTCGATGAGTCCAAGAGTGAACTCGGCGAGTCCACGCTGTGTGGTGAAACCCTAATTTCTGGGGTTTGCGGCCTATTTAAAGGGCCTTATGGCCGTCATTTGTGCTCACCCAACCCTTAGAGAGAAACCCTTGTGTGCTTGAACGTTTTGAGAGAGAAAGGAATCATTCTTGACCCTTGTGTGTGTCATTTAGCAAAGAAGGAGAAGATTCTAAGCAAGAGGAAGCAAAGGAGGTTGCTATTTTGTGCATTTGAAGCTTAGATCATCAATCTAGAGGTATGATTTCGGATTACTTTCTGTTTTGTGATGAATAATGGGATCTAGGGTTTCTTATGGACATTTATGGGATGATTTGATGCCAAATAGTTCCCTTCTTGTGTTGAGGCTCTGGATCTGGATCCATAGAGGTCCAGAGAGCCTCATTCTTCAAGCTTTATGTATAGCAATGGAGTTTATGACCTTGGGTTGTAGTATTTGAGACAAAAACATCATTTATGGTCATATAGAGATTGTATGTGCATCAAGATAGTGACTTTACGTGCTAAATATGCTTGGAAGGACTGGATCTATGGGTTAATGGACTGGATCTGACCTTATGAGCAAGTTTGAGTCATTGCATGGCACGGACTCACCGAGTCCGAAGAACAGACTCGGCGAGTACTATGAATGTTGCCCGACCACACAGCGAGTGGTCTTGCCGAGTTGGGGAGGGTTGACTCAGTGAGTCAGGGGAAGTCTGAGTGGATAGGTGGACTGAGTCAAGCTGGACTCGCCGAGTTATTCTTGAGACTCGGCGAGTTGAGTCGTGGTGGCCCCACAACTCATGCCAGGTGGAACTCGTCGAGTTAGGAGGATACTCGACGTGTCAAGGGAGAATTTCAGGGAAATTAGTGTATACGCTCAGACTCGCCGAGTCGCTATTGTGTACTCGCCGAGTCTGCTCAAAGTTGACCGTTGACCGTTGACCTAAGTTGACTTGTTAAAGAGTAGTCAACCTTAGTTGGGAAAGTGTTAATTAGAGATGTATTGTGATATAGGAGGACTTTAGCTCGGGGGATCGAGCACTCGTGATTTCAGGATTCACGACTTATCAAGACGCGAGGTGAGTCTTCTCACTATACTTTACATTGAGTAGGTAACCAGAGTTATGTGATAGAGTGTTTGTATGCTATGTATGTCATGTGTTGTACTACATTATTTCTATGTGATTTATGTTGTGCATGTTTACAGAGTTAGAACCTGAGGGTTCACAGAGTTTGGGTGCACGGACCCACAGAGTTATAGCCTCGAGTGGCTAATATGTGTTATATATGGTATTTTGGGGAACTCACTAAGCTTTGTGCTTACAGTGTTTGATTTTGTTGTTTCAGGTACTAGTGACGACCGCGGGAAGGCGCCGGCTTGATCCGTACACACACGGAGTTTATACATTTGTGATCTTGGGATTTTGTATTTACTTGAATTGGATAATTAATATGGTTGTTTTATGAATATTAAATGAATTATGTTTCACGAAAATTTGAAAATTTTGTTTTAAAATTTACGGTGTTACAAAGAGGATCTTGGACCGTGAACTCCAAAATCTTGGACCAAAGTGTGTTTTTAAGACACCTAAAGCCTTGGACATTTACTAGGAATTGTTCCCACTTAATTCAAGGACCAAAACACATCAAAAACACCCCTCAAAGTGAGTTCACGACCCTAATAAGGTTCTTGGGCCGTGAACATCAAACAAAGGCACCAAAGTGTGCCTAAGGCCTTCATATGCTTAGGATAAAAGTCTAAGACCCATACCACATGTGCAAGAGACTTGAAAGCATCAAAAACACCATTCCAAGGGAGTTTACGGTAGTAAACTCCAAAGGAAATGGCCTTAGGGCCGTAAACTCCTCTAAGGAGTGTTTCTATGCCTTAAACCCTTCCAAGAATTAATCCACCAAGTTGGAATACTTCTAGGGATCATTTAACACCTCAAAACAACCAAGAACATTAAGTCTTGGAGTTTACGACCGTAAACTCAAGAGTTTACAACCGTAAAATCTATGTGTGAGGTTATATGGAGAGTAAACTCCATGTGTGAGGTTATTTGGAGAGTAAACTCAAGTATAGGGTCCTTTGGAACCCTAAACCCAATTTCCTTGTCCCACAATAGCTTAGATGCAATCCTTAGGGCTTATAACACTTATATAAAGTGTTTATTATGTTCTAGGATGTCTTAACATTATAAATTAGTAATTTAAGACTAATTGAGTGCATATATGTGTGATTATATGTTCATTAGGATCGTAGTGTGTGTACGAGTCCTCACTTGACACCTAACAATCTTACACCGTCCAGTTCATCCAAACCACCATCCACAAGTGAGTTCATACCCCTAATCAATGTTTTAAATGATTTTAAATGCTTTAATGGGGGGGGGGGGGGGAATTACAAGTACAAAACAACATGTTATTAAATCACTCATATGTATTTTATAACTGTGTTTTCATCCAGCCGATTTCACATACTACAAAATGTGATGCATGAAATGGTTTTCCATCTTAAAATACCTTGATAACAAAAGTATTAGTTTTGAAATGTTTATTAACATGACATCAAGTCACTCTTAATTATTATTCAAAACTCTTAGATACCTTGCAAAACCATTACATTTACCTTCTTGAACAAACAATTACCTTTCAGTTAATTATCATAGGGATACTTAGAAGAAACAAAACATTATTCCTATTACAAGGAATCACACCAGAGTCAGTTCATTCATGAGTCTTTACGAGTACATTACCTGATACATGAGTACCTTTACATATGCTTACATGATACATGAATACGCTTATAGGAACACATTACATGAATACCTTTACGTAGATACATCTACCTGTGTATACTTACATGAATACATGAAACTTGATTCGTAAAGATGATTTATTAGTACCTTCAGTAAATCATCCTGCCCATCCCAGTTCAACAGGAGTCAGTTACGGGACTAACCATTCCTGGAACCACTGTTCGCTATAGAGGTTAATGGACATCTACGGATGCCTAAGGTTATTACTTATATTAGGAGTCAGTTACGGGATTAACCATTCCTGGAACCTACTGTTCGCTACAGAGGTTAATTGGACAATCTTCGGATGTTCATTAGGTTATCTATTTCGCT